TCAAAATCTATCTAATTTCACATGTTTGGTAACTATTATAGCTCGAGGACAAACTTGGACCTTTCTACTTGTTATATATACTCTGTATCAACCTGCTTTTGTTCCTTTCTCATTCAAAATCTTTTTTATCACATGTTTGGCAACTGTTATAGTTCAAGACAAACTTGGTTCTTGTCGAAAACAACAAAGTGGAACAAAGGTCAATGTTTGTTTTATAACTTCATGAGAGAACATTGTTTGTTTAACGGGTTAGGATGGGATTTTAGGTCAGTTTAACGAGAAATAACAGAGATCAGATTAAGATCCGATGGTTTTTTTTTGTATCGATAGACCGACACAGTGTTGAATTTGAAGATAAAGTTTTGTTTTTGTGAGCAATGTGTAAATGGTTTTGAGAAATGACTTTTGATTTTGTTTTGTAGGTGGACCTTCGAGTACTCTGCCTTCACTATCGTGGCCTGAGAGGTTACGTATTGCACAAGGAACGGCTCGTGGGTTGATGTATATACATGAGTACAGTCCGAAAAAGTATGTTCATGGGAACCTAAAGTCAACCAAGATCCTGCTTGATGATGAGCTAGAGCCTCGCATCTCCGGCTTTGGTCTAACACGTCTAGTCTCTGGTTACTCCAAACTCACCGGTTCGCTATCTACCAAATGGCAAAGCTTAGACCAAACCTTTTTAACCTCTGCTTCAACAGTGACAAGAATCACAGCTCCTTCCGTTGCTTACCTTGCACCCGAGGCTCGAGCTTCTTCTGGTTGCAAATTATCTCAGAAGTGTGATGTTTATTCGTTCGGGGTTGTCCTAATGGAGCTCTTGACTGGTCGTTTGCCTAATGCTTCCTCTGAAAACAATGGAGAAGAACTCGTGCGACTCGTGAGGAATAGGGTTAAGGAAGAGAAGCCGTTGGATGAGATTTTAGACCCCGAGATTCGAAACAAAGGTTATGCAGATAAACAAGTTAGTACAGCCATTCATGTCGCCTTGAACTGCACGGAAATGGATCCACAGGCTCGTCCAAGGATGAGATCAGTGTCTGAAAATCTCGGTCGAATCAGATTAGACTAACCTCGATCGAAATAACTCAGAAAGTATGAATTTTTTTGCAAATCAATTGAGTGAAAAAGTCATAAACCAAAATATTTTGCTTCTTTAGGAGTTTTTATTTTTCTAGTTGAGCATGTCATCTTAGGGTTCTTGCGACCTAACGTAAGTAGTTTTGTCATAAACCAAAATATCTTGCTTATTGTTCTGTCAATTTGTCATGGATTTCTTGCGACCTAACGTAAGTAGTTTAGTGCTTCTTGGTTTTGAACATTAGCATTCTTCTAGAATTTTAAAAATTAAAGTCAAATATATGATCAATAAAACATTGTTAATGATGTGGCAAAAAATGGCAATGATTTGCGTTTCATGAGAACATACAAAACGTAAGTTGGTGATTTTTATTTAAAACAAGCAATTAAAGCTTGTAATTACTAACGTTTATACTAGTATTTCTTAGAAAAATTCACTAAGATAGCTAGCGTTTAAAGTTAAAAACACCGTTACCATTTACAAACCTAAATCTTTTCCCCTATAAAACATGAATCAATAGACATTGAAATTATACAAAACACAAAAAATATGGCTAATAATAAACTCATAACTCTTCTCATATTATCTTTGTTCGTCGAAGTAGCCATTGGTGATCTGATTTATGGTGTAGTCATTGGTAAAGATATACATGGATGGAACTATTAATTTTATGGCAACAATAACTGTAGCCTTCACGAACAATATCGACTACCAATAAGGTTCTACTTTTTTAAAAAAAAATACCAAAATTCCTCGGTATTTTTTTTATTGAAGGAAGAAAGAGTAAAATTGTTGATTAATTTAACATGGAAATTAATGAACGGCTAAAAAGACATTAATACCGCCTTGATCATACTAGTAGTTGGCTATGGTGTATATATCTGAACACCCATTAGCGAATTAAAGATCAAGATTAGCCCATTAACGAAGTTTGACTCTTTTAATTCCTCATAATAGTGCATGAACAGAAACATGAATGATCACAAAGTTCTAAGAGACGGATTCAACACTAGGGCTCTTCGTTTGCCTCATGCATCCTTATATCCATATATAAAGATTTTGTGTGAAATTGAAAGCATGCAGATGGTGAAATGGAGGTTCATGAAACTAAAACAATAAGACAATATAATTAATATAGCAACAAGCAGAAAATACTTCTGCTAGGAGAGGGAGACTTTTCCTTTTCTTTGTCTCTAGCCAGCAGAGCCTTTGGTTCTGCCACCAATATCACTGCGACATCTCTTGATACTCGAGGTATAGTACTAAATCTAAAATCATATAGTCTTATAGTATATTTTCTCATTGTTACCATATAGTAACATTTAATCGGTTAGGTGATAAATTTTATGAATTATGTTTAATATGTAGTTGAGCTAGCGCATAAATACACCAATGCAACATCGAACGTGGAAGAGTTGGAGCGACTCGGGTGCACCGTTATCCACGGTGTCAACGTGCATTCCATGGCCTTAGATTATCGTCTAGCTCTAGATCGATACGACAGAATCGTCTTTAATTTTCCTTTCAGGGGTAGGTTTTGGTTCTGAGGGAGAGAGCTTCTACATCATGTACGTATTGCAACACTTTTTCTTTGTTTTTTCTTCCATTGTTGTTTATTCAACATTTGCTTTTTTTTTTAGCAAGTTCATTCAACATTTGCTTTTTGGTGTGTATAATTCACAGGGAACACCAAAAGGTAGTAAGAGGATTTTTGGAGAGTGCTAGAAAGATGAGAATGGAGAGATTCATGTGACCCATAAGACAAATTATCCATTTTCCATGTGGGAGATAAATACTTATCTAGCTCTAGAAAAGGGTTTGGTTATAATCGGAGAGATTCAATTTTACCAATGGGCATTTCCGGGATACTCTAACAAGAAAGGAAGTGGAAGTAATTGTAACTCTAGCTTCCCTATCGGATCAGCCGTCACTTTCATGTTTAAGAAATAGCTCTTGGTTAATTCCAAGAACTATGTAATAATGATTAAATTAGAGACTGATTATAATCAATCTCATAATAATGATGAATTTGTTTTCTACTCGCTTTTTGTAAGGACGAAATAAATTTCTTCTTAGAATTTGAAACACTCGTATCAACCAATTTTTCAGATTTTATTTAGTTTTTTTTTTTATCGTTGATTTTTGTTTAGTAATATTTTTTGTCAAAACACTAGGCCAGAAAAGAGAACATGGAAACATTAAACTCTAAAACAATGTACATTTTGAAAATTAAGCCGGCGAATAACACGATATCTCCCTCGAACCAAAATCCTAAAATGGAAAACATTCGAAACTCTAAAACATTATACATTTCGAAACATGATTTTTAAAGTGGTTAATACTACTAGTAAATAAGTATACAGTTTCAAGGCGACCTTATAACGGACCATAAATTTTGATTACAATTCGGTTTACCAAAAAATTAATAGATTAATATTGACGGCTAAATTTTATCTCGTTCGCACTTCGCACACGGTTATTGGTAAGCAACGGACAGATCTGTGTCCATGAGTGAACGGTGATAATCTGGTTGGTTTATCAAGGCGCACAGAAACTCAGGTAGGCTCGCACGCAGGGGAATATTTGCATTAGGGCTTTAGAAGGGCAAACCTGTAATCTCGTGAGAACAATTGATATTGCGTATATCCCGCCTCTAATGAAATTTTGAACTAAAACTTCACACGTGTGAAAGGAGCCTCTCACACGTGTGCTAACGTTTGATTTGTTTCCTCATTATAATCCCGCTCAGGAGACGACCTTCAAAGATTTCCTCCTCACTCTCCCCAAGAAC